ATCAAATGCTCCAAAAGCCAGTCCACGGGCTTATCGTTGTGGAAGATCACGAAGAATATTATAAACATCGATAGGTCTACCGATTTGAACATTTTTCCTATTTTTTCGCACAACAAAAACAAATTCAAACATTAGTTAACTCTTTTAAGTTCATAACTAAAGCTTTTATAAAAATAGTTAATTAAAAAACTAATTTTAAAAACTAATTACAGAAACTATTTTATACTTATATAATATATAACTTATTTCTTCTATTTATTGTTTAGACAAAAAGAATTTAATTAAAAATTAATTAACTTTTATATTTATCTTACGATAAGGGCTTAACTCGTAATTAATATTTAATTGAAAAACGAGTACAAAAACAAGACATCCATAGAGTTAAAAATAAATTTAAAACAAAAAACACAATTCAAAAACATTATTAACCGATAAATCCAAGCGAACAGAAGTCGAGAATAAGCCAACTCTTCTTCTCGAGCGATGCCTTAACCGCGAAGTTTTTCATTTTCGTTAAATACGAGGGTTTGGTTAGTATGTCGTCCTCTAATTGCACATAATATGTGGCCTTTGGCTGGCAGTACATCATTAGATACCCTATAAATGACAACACAATTATAGACACCAATACGTGTAATATATGGTTACAGATAACGGACCAAAATCGAGATTCTGTTTGGATCTCCAGCGGACTCTATCGATGGGATCGCCTAATGTCTGTGTTATGGTCGACATATTGGGGTAATACGAAGCGGGAGGTGATATCACCTCAAGTAAACCCGAGTCCATATGTTCCCCGAATTGTGACTCCAATTCATTGGCAGTCTTTGTCACGTAATCTAAATCAGTCTTTAAGTAAAAGTAAATCACAAATTGAGTACAGTTTTCATGACAATAGATATTAATGTTTTATTTGACTACATATTTGAATAAATGAACCAAATATTAAACAATTAATATGCAAAATAGCGTTTTAAATAGAGATACCTCTGCTATGAAGACCACAATAATCGCTTCCTGTCGTTCATCGACTGACAAATTGTCGATCAGATTGTGAAGAGTTGCGACCAAATAGGACTCGACATCGCGCCGAACAGTGGGCACACCGAACACCATCGTAACGGAACTCCTCTCTTCATTCTTCGCGATACGAAACGCGGGCTTTAATGAGTCGCTCGACGGCAACAGATGAGGCAAAAAGTGGTGAATGGATGGCAATTGTAAGACATCCGAAGAACCAGAAGTGCGAACTTATAGGGCGTGAGAAAAATGAGACATAGATATAGAAAAAGTCATAAAACATGCGATAAGTTTACAAATTATAAATATCAATAATAATACAATCATTTCATACATACAATACACTCACAAACATTACATAAAATAACAATCAGTCTTTTTTTGGTGACATTTTAATGTGTTTTTAATTTCATTTTGCGATGACTTTACTTTTTTCTCTCCAGAATTAACGGAAAGATATTATGAATGAAAATAGCATTTTCTATACAATTTCTATACCTATTCTCATCATAATGTGTGCGAAAAAATAACTGTCATTAATAGCCGTGTCGTTGAGGTCTCGACTAAATTGTCAAAAACTAATTACACAAAAACCGTAATCGTTTTGCGGAGACCATACAAACCCATACATTGAGCCATAAGTTTGTGAAAATATATTTTCCCATAACTATAACCAAAAGAAGAAAAATAAAGTGAAATCAAAGTTTTGGGCAATAAATTAGTCGTTAAGTGTCGGGGAATCGGGGAATATATGCTCTGAACGCTGTGCCCGACAATGACTTAACACAATACACATTGAAATCAATTATTGCTTTTATTTGTTTTGGGAGAAGAAGTTGTTTTNAAGTTTTGGGCAATAAATTAGTCGTTAAGTGTCGGGGAATCGGGGAATATATGCTCTGAACGCTGTGCCCGACAATGACTTAACACAATACACATTGAAATCAATTATTGCTTTTATTTGTTTTGGGAGAAGAAGTTGTTTTTTGGTGAAGGAATGGATGAATGGGTTGAATGGACTGTAATTAACGCTCAATCGCGTGAACTTCGCCTTCAAATTAAATGCAAATCGACGCCAAGATATGAGAGACAATAAACAACTGATTATTATATCATATCGTCAATCATATGGAGTCAAACAGCAGACAAAACAGCACTGAATTGAATCAATTATATGGAAAAATATGTGAGAAATTTGATAATTTGCTTAAAACCAGAAAACCATTAGACAAGAGATGATGCATAAGATTATGTAAAGAATATGCGAAAAGTTATTAATTTTGCATAAAAGTCCCAAAAGATTATCCAAAACCAAAACACAAGCGAATAGAAAGAAAAGAGACTATATTTTATGTAATTAAAGCATATCTTCTTTGTTGTGAACAACGATAAAGAAATTTACGGCCGAAACGAAAGAATAATACATATATACTATAGATTGTAATACAAATGTTATATAACAGATAGAGAATATACAGTACATAGGGTTTGAATGACAGCAACAATATTACAAATCACTTGTTTCGTCAAAAACCTCTATTCCAAGCGTTAAAACACGTAATTATAAAAAATATATGTATTTAAAGTGGAGGTCAAAAACCCTTCACTTAATACTTCTCTCTCTCTCTCTCTCTCTCTCTCTCTCTCTCTCATCAAAACAACAAAAATAT